TTGGTATGTGGGTGTTGGTATGTGGGTGTTGGTATGTGGGTGTTGGTATGTGGGTGTTGGTATGTGGGTGTTGGTATGTGGGTGTTGGTATGTGGATGTTGGTATTGATCTTATTTTCACTCGTCATCACCGACCTTCTTATTCCCAGAGTGCAAGGGCTACACTCGCTTGAGTTCAGGCGACCGCTTGCGGACTACACCCTTATCTGGCGAGGTTAAATGTGACATGGATAAAATAGGATGGTATCGCTTTGTTGGCGATGCAGGGACACAAATAGCAACAACTTGCACGAAGAAAATGTATTGTCAAGCGGATGGTACTGGATGGATGAATGGTACTCATCCTAGTCCTAATGAGGGTATAGTTAATCGTACAGTGTGTTTTAGTTGGAACACGTGCTGTGAATTTTCAACGCCAATCCATGTACGGAACTGTGGCCCATTCTTTGTTTATAAGTTTCATCAAAGTCATCATTGTAGTCTTCGTTATTGCGGCGAGAAAGGTATAGTACAGTAATAATATTAATCATGCAAGAACCATTATTTTGTTTTGGCTAGCACCTTTGGGAAAGCTTGTATTGCTAGTCTCAAATTTCGATCAGATGATAAATGGTCCTTGTTCGTGGTCACTGGCAAATCTATTTTGAAAAGAAGGCTTTATTTAAATCTTTCTGCTTCATATACTGGGAGGACCAACTCAATTTGATAAACCCTTCTTCATAGAAAAGACAAAAACCTAATCATCAAGTTTTACCAATTTCACTCAAAAAGGTTGTCGGTGCCACCATAGGTATGGGATAGTGCATTCCGAGACTGATGTATGTTTAAAATGGTTTCTATGATCACAATTAACACTGAAAGTTGTGAAAGAGAATTATAATAAGAAACATAAGTAGTTTCAACTATTCTTGGAACTCGGAAGGGACTGTTGCTTATGGCTCTGACATTTTGTTTTTGAAATACTGAGGTGCTAAGACCTTTGTCATAATGACATATGATATATATTCTATAAATTAGAATATTCCTTAAGAATAATTTTTCTAGATGTAATGGACCTAATCGGCTAACGTGTTGCTATGTACGTTACCACCCAATTCAAACCTTCTGGGAATAGAAGCGTTTGTCTCTACGATGCAACGTGAAACCAAAATATAACGAACATCGGTGGTTTGAATTGGGTGGAAACGTTCATAGCAACACCGATTAGGTCTATTCTCTGAAATGATAGGGCTTGATGACGTAGATAACATGCGTGAGTATTGAGATCCAGTCAAAAATCCATGAGAAGATATGAGGGTTATAAAATGTTAACATACACCAAAACAAGGATATGAAGCCCCCAGGAAACATACATACGAATCACTTTAATTTTGGCCTTTCATAACTGATCGTGATATTTTGTCAAAAGTAGTGAATCTTTCCAAAAAAATTTGTAATGAAATATTCTTTCAATTGACAGTGGTTATTTGTACAGGAAATCGCACGATCTCGAGTAGAATTCGGAATTCATAGGTACGAGAGATGCTTTGAAAGTTCTCAAAATTGGATGAGCCTTTAGGGACCACTGTCATTGGTATACATGCGGTAGTGGATTCTCTGCCATTGCATGCATATATTTATATATGACGTGTGTATGCGTGGGTGTTTAATTGGCGAAGCTAAATAAAAACAAATAAAAATAAAAATAAAAACTTACAAAACATCATGAGTATCTATAAATTCCGAATTGTACAAGAAGATCGTGCGATTTTGTGTTTATGATACACTCAACTAAATTGAGCAACTTACATCCATTCTCAATCGCACGCGCCCCTAGCGATTGCTTCTGTCGCGACGAAGGTTTTGGTGGACGTCAATCACAAGGCGTTTCCATAATATTGTGGGAAAACGCAAAGCTATGATGGCACGTGCTATAGAATGTCATTGAAACGCCTTGATTGACGTCCACCAAAAGAGCGGCGCGTGTGATTGAGAATGGCTGTGATTGGGACTCTACAAAGTACGACTAACGATTTAATTGTACTTTTCTTGTCCAATCAGAATCGAGTAATTTTGTAGAGTATAATAAATAATAGAAAGCTGATATTCCCCCAAAGTGAGAAAAAAACCGCCATCATTATAATCTACACGCCTTCTTTTTTATAGTTTCAGTAGAACTTCTATCCATGGCGATCTCAGCTGAAGAAAGCGAAGCCCAAGCTAATATACCTGTGCGACGAACTGAAAGCTTTCCTTATCTAGCGATCAAGTAAGTACGTTTTATTGAAGAAATCTTGGATAGGAATGACGCAATAGAAAGTGCGCCTGCGTGCCTCATAAAGCACGCGTACCCAACCAATCAGATCGCGAGATTGATTTACTTAGTTATTTTATAGTTTTAATTATTTAATAGTGCTTACATCTGTCTTCTGAGAAGAACAGCAAATACGAACTAGAAAATGCTACTCTCATTTGATTGCGGAATGCATTCAATGTTGTTGCAATAATAGTGCATTTTTTTCACGCACCAGAGAAATCCTGTAAAGTAACGTATGAAAGCAAAGCCTGAATCTTGCTCCACACACAACAGCTGCAATATGGACTTGTTTGTACCATTCAATAAAACAAAACTATTTGAGGACTTGTACTTCAACAAACTACCTCCTAAACTATGGAACACTCTACCAACTTGTATACAATCTCTGAACCGACTAGTTTTAGTTTTAAGACTGCTCTAAATAACCTTTACTTTGCTGCTCTTAAAAACTCCCCCAAGCTAAAGAGGCCAAGTTTAGGGAATCCAGTTATTAGTTTCATGATATGTTTTTTTTCTTCTCCAGTGTCTCTATTTCTGATGGAACAGCAAAGTCTACATTAGATTATCAGGATTTTAATCCCCTTTTGGTAACATTTTCACCTGGACAATCTACAGTTGATGCTATAATTCCACTTGTGGAAGATGATATTTACGAGTCTGGCGGCGATGAGTCTTTTACTGTAGAAGTATTGGATAGCTTTGCCAACGTACACGTCGAGAATATCACACAAACAGTTGTAACGATCAAAGATGATGATGATGGTTTGTATAGTAATGGGAAAGAAGGGTGGTGTAGTGTTAGGTCACTTGCCTGTGACCGGGTCGGTGTCCACTGGCAGAACGAAGCTTGGGATTGGACAAAGTAACAAAAACAAAGAAAGCATGGATTATGGTGAAAAATGTGTATTGTTCTACATGTGCGTTGCGTTCTTTGTATTATCTCACCATTCATTGTTTGTTCATCCACTCCCAGGCTTTGTTCTGCCGGTTGTGGATTACCCGCTCCCCGCGCGCCCCTGTGACTGGAATGTCGGGCTTGATCCCTTGACCCGCCATCACATGCGTTTGATAGGTTTCTCCCTTGAATCAAGGTTTTTCTCCAGGGTTCTTCGGTTTTCCTCCTACCACAAACTCTTACACAGTCGAACTATGAGTTAGCCGTACCCTGACTTGAATCTGCAGGGTATCCGATTAAACGTGCCGATCAGGGTCATTGTGGATCACGATGAGAGAGTAAAATATCATGGAATAAAACGCTTTCCTGAAAATACACCCAGATTTCTATCAGCTTTTTATTGAACCCAGACTGTTATCCAACATGGATGCCATGAAGCACGTGACTGTACAAAGTCTCTAACGAACGTTTATCTATATTTTCAGAATGCTATGTACACAAGACTCTCAATGCAACTGATCGCTTCGAGAATGATGTGACAGTCGGGTCTGCAAAGTGTGACAACATTCCAAAAGGATGGTATCGTATTGTTGGTCCAAGCGGCACTGAACTTGCAACATCTTGTGCGTCTTTTAACAAATGTGGTGCTAACACTACGTTGTGGATGAATGCCAGTCATCCCTATGAAAATGAACGTAGAGTGTCACGCAGCATCTGCTACAACCAGAATGGGCAATGCTGCAATCGTTCTCACAACATTCGTGTCCGAAATTGTCGCTACTTCTATGTCTACGAGCTTTCGTCTCCACTTGTTTGTGCTCGCTATTGTACTTCAAAATGTAAGTAAGGTCTTAGATAACTTATTTCATTTGTGCTGAGATTGCTTGGACTCATATGACGTCATTTCCTTTATCGTTTGGAATGTTCATCAGCTGAATCAAAAGTTTTTCAATTGAATTTTTCTGGCTGACAGCACATGATGGTCAGTGTTTGACAGCTATTTGGAGCGGATAATAAGATTCGCAATCAAAGGCTTTTATCCCCTGATTGAAACCCAGAATCTGGGAGACAAAACAAAAGAGTTTCCTCATCTTGAGGATTGAAATAGTTTATGAGGTTCAGTTAACCAGTTGGGGTTTTTTTCATCCTTTTGACCGCCAAGTAGGGGTTCAGATAGTGGAACTATAATTAATAATTAATACTTAATAATGATTTATAACTATCTTTTTGTTTTTTAGTTGAATTATTCTGGACAGAGACATCGAAAGTAGTTAGTGAAAATCAAGGAAATTGTAATTTGATTTTGAACAGAAAAGGAAAGGCCATCGGAAAACTATTTACGCGTGTCAAGTGAGTTGTAGTAAAATAGTTCCAAAATGTCAAAAGTACCACCACTCAGGCTGGTAGAGTGATGCCCCAGTCTGTAAACTCTATGATCAGATTAATTGCTTACTATCAATCACGTGACTTTTTGGAGTTGACTGGGGGGCAAACAAGCGGTTAACTGGGGGGCAACTAGCGGATGCTGAGTCAAGACATGTCAAAATAAGTCCTCAAACTATTGTATTTGACTATTTTCACGACATCAAACCAGAAAACAAGAGATCAAAACAACCTCCAGGATTCTACAAGCCATGAAAAAAGAGCTATTACCGGAAGTGACGTCTATTGATAGCAACCTATACTCAGGATCTTAAAATATCTGAGTAGAAGGTACTACCTTTGGTCTATGAAATATCAGCAAATGCTTAGACTGATTGTGTGGTTTACATGCGTGACCACGTTCAATGGCAGTCCTGTCTCGCTTACAGAGATCTTAAAAACATAGAGGGCCAAAAGTTTGCTTTTATTTTACAGCAATAAGACCATGCAAATTGTTGTGTTAAACTCGCACGAAAAAGATAGACATGTACTTATCAAAACGATCATCTTTTTTTAATGGTAAGGGGCTCATAGACACCTAATCTAATTGTCACATTTTATGGACTTTAACTTATTTATTTAATTTTTCAGAGGTCACACTCCAGGCCCATATACGGCTTTGCCCGACGCTGATTTTCAGCAAACGTTTATTAAAGGAGAATTCAAACCTACAGATACAACTCTAATCATACCGGCTCTCATTGTAATTGACGATGAAGTAACAGAATCAACAGAGACATTTACTTTAGCGGTGTCAACTGAAGATGGAGCAACGCCAACAAATGGCTTGGCTACTATAAGCATAACAGACAACGATAAAGGTTTGCATAGTAAAATATCATAGTAAAATAAATAGGTTTTAGCAGTGGCTTTCCACAGAGTGGCCCTTCATCAACTGAAATTCCAATTGGAATTTAGAAGTGGATTTTTGCGGAGAGGGGAAAACAAACTCTACTCAAATACGACGACACCGAGCCCGACGGGATTCGAAACCGGGTCACATTGATGAGGCAAGCGCTCAGCCGCTACGCCACTTGAATCTACAATTCACCATTTTCCATACATCGGTTCACTGGTCAAACACAAAGCATTTAGTCGAGGTTCAAATTTGGATAATCCTTTGAAAGTACCTTCAAAGTACCTACGCCTCGCTTGAGCGTTTTGTGTTGGACCATTGAACCAATGTATGGAAAATGGTGAATCCTTTAAATTCTATCTATACCCTGGAACCACTTCTGGGCTGAACAAAGTCAGAGTGTATATATAGTATGACTTATTCAAAGATATAATTAAAGTTTTGCGTTTTGGGTTTGGCGGAGGAAAGAAAACTAAAGAAGCTGAAGCAAAACCCTCGAATCGAAAGGAGAGAGCAAACATACCCTTCTCACATGTGACTGCGAGTTCAGGTATCATACCCAAGGCCCCAGATGTGTGAGGCGAGGCATAACTGCTACACGTGCAGGGCCCTGGACCCCTTGATTTACATAAATTCAACGCGCTTTTCTTTTGGTCTTGGCTTATATGTGTTATGTGTTAGGTGCGGAACCTATCGGACAAGATTTTAATTTTCGGTTGTACTTTTACAGTCTCCATCAGTTTTAAACGTCCAATCTACTCGGTGTATGAAGATGTTGGATTCGTAGATATCAATGTCTTATGTGTTGGTCCAAAGGAAGTGCCAATCAAATACAGGTAAAATTAAATGCTCTTTTTTTTACACAAAAGAATATAATAAGAGGAGGATCCATAGACTTTTATCACGCGGCGGCCATGTTTATTCACATGAGAATATAAAGCTTTTGTTTCTCCTGTATCAATTTATTCTTAAATATTTGAATGCGAGGCCGAGCGTGGTGGAAGTTATCGTTGAAACCAACATGGCTGCCGAATGATAATTGCCCATAAAGTATCTCAAGATAATATAGATGGTTATTCTTATTATACGCTCTAAGCACTGACGGGAAGCACGGGTCGGATTTTCGCAAGTCGGGATTTTCGTAAGCCGGGATTTTCGTAAGTCGGGATTTTCGTAAGTCGGGATTTTCGCAAGTCGGGATTTTCGTAAGTCCGGATTTTCGTAAGTCCGGATTTTCGTAACTCGGGTATTTTCAAAAAAAAAGTTGCGCGTTTAGAAGGGTCCTTTAACGGGCTCCGTAGTTTGTACACCTATAGCCAAGAATCTTAAACATCCTTTCTCTTTCAGGTTGACAACAGTCGATGGAACAGCTATTGGTGCAATAAACCAGTTCACCAATTCTTACGGTGACTTTATCCATTTATCTGGCGTCGAAAAGGAGTTCTCAAAAAATGAAGTCGTACAGTCATTTAGAATATTACTTAACAATGACAGTATACTTGAACATGACGAGAAATTTTTAGTGCGACTAGAATCCTTGGTTCCTCAACACGCTATCGTCGGGCCACATCTTTCAGTCATTATCGAGAATGATGATTCAGGTTCGTGTGTCGCTTTTTTCTACAGGAATCTCTGTTTGAGATTCTTTTGGGATTAGGAAACGAGATTGATGTAAAGGCTGATTTACACGGTACGATTTCTTTGCATTTGTCCTTGGTTCGTATAAACAAAGGTACCAACAAAAAGCTTACGACTATAAATGGCAGCTAAACTGAGAAAAATCGTTCTGTGTACATCGGCCTTAGGGAATACTGGCGAAGTGAGGTAGAGGGCACTTTGTTACTTTCTTGCTCGACCAAATATCACGAAGTCATTTTCTGCGCAATGTTCAACAGTTGAAATGGTGATGTACATTAAAGCTTACATAAATCGAGTATTGCAAAAATGAAACAGAGAAATCAAAGGAACTATCATAAAAAATACTCTTAATATTTTCGTCTTCTGAAAACTTAGATCGATGGATTTTTAGGGTGTCTTAATAAGAGTAAGTACTCGGTTTCCCATCGTGTTCCCATCATTAGGTTTTCAACTCCTTCGAGACATGGGCTCCCTGTTTCAATATTTTAATAAATAAAAATAAATCAAACGCGCATAATATTTTTTCAATTCTTAAACGGATCATAGATAGTCGCAGGAAAAACATAGTCTACTTACTGGACTTGAGATCGATGTGTTTTTGCAATGAATTTTGCAATCCTTGTATTTCAGTTTTCGTCGAATTTGTAAAGCCATCTATGAATGTAAATGAGGACGTTAGCCAAGGCGTCCTACAAGTAATCATGAAGGGAACAACAGAAATAGATGTCAATCTAAGGTTCGTAAATAAGCTTATCTACATTTTATGAATGTATGCTTTTCGATCGCTGCGTCTTGACCTTGCGACAAGACTTAAAAAGCGATCGAAAACGGAAAAAAGTTTTAAAAACCGTTCTACAGAGTGGCAACATTTTAAAAAAGGGTGCATATCGTTTCAATGTAGACAGTGAAAGCAGAGGCTTTTTAAAATGATGACGTCTTTCTGTCGTTTGCACGGGAGTTGACGATATTGCATCATAACATAATCATTGACGTGAACGCGCTAATGCGTTTTGGTGAAACGATAACGAATGTAATCGGAGGTTTTCATTTGGGTCTCATTTGATTCGATAATCCTTCTTCGGCGAAACCAACACGCTAAATTCCAAATTACATCTGTGAGTTAGCAATCCCAATAGTACTTTGATCAGCCCAAAGGGTTGTAATAGAGAATCGAATAAAAACTTGAAGGTTGTTTTGAATTAAAGGTCCAGGCAGGCAGCAGTAACCTATCAATCCATCAATGTTTCTCATATTGACTTCACTTTGTTTTATCCAGAATCTCGTCAGTAAACCAATCAGCATACTCCACGTATGACTATATAGGAATGTCCAATCAACTAGTGACGTTTACGCCGACATATACATCTCCTAACTTCATGAATATTTTTGTCAACATTACGGACGAGGCTCTGATCGAAAGGGATGAACAATTGAAAATGGCGTTAACAACCAACCAGACAGCAGTTCATCTGGGGAGAAATTTGACCGACATTCATATACTCAATGATGATAAAGGTAAAAAACACCTGAGTATAACACAACCAACTAAATAAAACAACAAAATAAAAGAAAAAAAACAAAATCAACATGAACCACAAAAAGGAATTATAATGATAATGAGAGGTTCTTACACAGTCCTTTGACCAAACGTTGTCGTTGATCGGATCATCCCTACGCGCCTAGACCTAAAAGGAAAACGGGTAAATTACCCAGATATTGCGTCATCCAAACTGCTCGCCAGTGTTAAATCTTCGTCGTATGCTCGAGGCATGGTTTCAGCAAATAAATGGGATCGAAAACAGCGAACTCAAGACGTGTTAGATAACATGTGCGGCAGCTAGTAACTGTGAATTAATTATCCCCCTGATCCTTTTCGGTCTAGGCGCGTAGGGATGAAGCCGATCAAACGACAACGTTTAGTCAAAGGACTGTATAACGCATTTGTACAACTTCTCAATGCGCTTTACATTTATGACCAGTGGAGGACTTTACGGGCTGCATATAAGGAAACCTAAAAAATATTTGTGCACTTCTATCTCCCGGAAAATAAGCTACGCAAGTCCTTCAGTCTTCGGGATTTATAAGTTGAGTATAGACTTCAATACGTCGATTACTGAATGTGTTTTTTCTTCACTCAGCCTTCATTGGTTTTGATTTATCTTCTTTGGCCGTATTTGAAAACGCTAGTACTGTAGCAGTGTGTATGTATAAAAATGGATTGGCAGCAGTATCGCTTACCGTCACGTGAGTATAGAAAATCCTTCACTTCTGTTACATGAGTATTACCCATGATGCACTGCATGGGGAAAGACACTGGAAAAATTGTTTTAAATTGCGCATGCGTGCGTTTCAGCACGTTTCCCAGGAATTTATAGCATTTGAGTGGGGAAAATTATGTAGCATTTTCTAATGTAATATAAACTAATATGCAAAGCATTTCGTTCGGAATTATACTTCAGTGAAACCAAGATACTATATCAATAAAGGCAATATGAAATAATTAGTTAGCTTAGAATTCCAAAAAGTGACTTTTTATTTTCAAAAAATTCATATTTTTTTCATCGTGTTATCAACATGGCCGAAAAACGATAGACGACGCTATTACCACAGGATGTCCAAATACCACTAGGTATTGGTACAAAAATCTCAGTTGAAGGACTTTTGGGTATCTCTTTTGGTATTTGCAGGTTAAACACCGTTAGCAGTACAGCAAAGGACCATGTAGATTACGAAATAATCTCGAACCTAAACATCATGTTTGCTGCTCCCCAAGTCCAAGCATGCATTAATGTGGCAATCATAGATAACAATATCACCGAGTACGACAAGATCTTCCACATCATAATGACAACACAGGATCCTGCTGTGATCGTACAAGATAATCGAAACAATCTGACTATCACTATTCTCAACGATGATCGAGGTAAGATGGCTCGCGAGACATTGTAAGAGGAATCTACACTAAACTCTTAAATATCTGTAAACAAATGCACCGTACGTACGGTGCGACTTTTGTGTGAAAGATGTTACAAAAGCCATTCAAGTTCTTATTCTTACGCATAACTAGTTTCATCCTGTAAGCACGACGATGGAGCTTTTGTTGACAATGACGCAATCAGATTATCAGCCAATTAAATTTTAGACCATTATTGGGGATACATTTCCAAGATGACTGTTTCGTACCCTCAAGTACTCCCGAATCAAGGGAGAGAGCAAACATACCCTTGTCACATGTGACTGCGAGTTCAGGTATCATACCCAAGGCCCCAGATGTGAGAGGCGAGGCATTACTGCTACACGTGCAGGGCCCTGGACCCCTTGATTTACATAAATTCAACGCACTTTTCTTTTGGTCTTGGCTTATATATGTTATGTGTTAGGTGCGGAATCTATGGACAAGATTTTAATTTTCGGTTGTACTTTTACAGTCTCCATCAGTTTTGAACGTTCAATCTACTCGGTGTATGAAGATGTTGGATTCGTAGATATCAACGTCTTATGTGTTGGTCCAAAGGAAGTGCCAATCAAATACAGGTAAAATTAAATGCTCTTCTTTATTACACAAAAGAATATAATAAGAGGAGGATCCATAGACTTTTATCACGCGGCGGCCATATTTATTCACATGAGAATATAAAGCTTTTGTTTCTCCAGTACAAATTTATTCTTAAATACTTGAATGCGAGGCCGTGCTTTGTGGAATTTATCTCAAGATAAAATAGATGGTTATTCTTATGTTAGTCAGTTCTAAGCACTGACGGGAAGCAGGGGTGGTGTGAGCTGCTATTGCGAATGCGTCGTCTCTTACCGCTGCGGACGTGGGTTCGATGCTTGGATTCGCTATCATATGTGAGTACATATTTCAATATGCGCGGACGAATTCCAAGATGGCGTCTAATTCGTCCTCTAAAACAGTCTCACAATGCACTGCAATGGCAGCTCATGTAAGTTTTTCCTCATCCTCGGAATGGCTAATGCTTCGAGTGTTTCTACTTCTAAAATCCAATCGTGGCCGTACGAGGGACACAGATTTGTTAACCACTGGCTATTATGCCAATTACACTTTTAAAGCGTGGAAGATTAATAGCCGTTTGTACGCCTAGTCAAGAATCTTACACTTCCTTTCTTTTTCAGGTTGACCACCGTCAATGGAACAGTTGCTATTGGTGTAATAAACCAGTTCACCAATTCTTACGGTGACTTTATCCATTTATCTGGCGTCGAAAAGGAGTTCTCAAAAAATGAAGTCGTACAGTCATTTCGAATATTATTTAACAATGACAGCGTACTTGAACATGACGAGAAATTTTTAGTGCGACTAGAATCCTTGGTTCCTCAACACGCTTTCGTCGGGCCACACCTTTCAACTGCAGTCATTATCAAGAATGATGATTCAGGTTCGTGAGTCGCTTTTTTCTACAGGAAACTCTGTTGAGATTCTTTTGGAATTGGGAACCATGTGGACTGAGCGAGATTGATCTAAGGGCTGATTTACACGGTACGATTTCTTTGCAATTGTCATTGGTTCGCATAAATCAAAGGTGCAAAATGCTTACGACTGTAAATGGCAGCTAAACTTAGCTTAAGGAAGTTGCGCGCGACAGCTGTGAGAAAAAACTCGTTTCGTGTAAATCGGACTTAAGAAAGAATGGGGAAGTGTAAAATTGAGGCAGAGGGCACTTCGTTTCTTTCTTGCTCGACCAAATATCACGAATACATTTTTTGCGCGGGGTTCAACAACAGAAATTGCGATGAAACCGAGTACTGCGAAGAACTCAAAGGAACTATTTAAAAAATTCTAATAATAATAATAATCATAATAATATTTTCGTCTGTTGAAATACTTACATTTTCATAGACGTGGAAAAAGTAGTCAGATGAATTTTTAGACCGTCCTAATAAGAGTAAGAACTCGGTTTGCCATCATGTTTTCCACTCCTTCGAGATACTGGCTCCCTGTTAAAATGTTATAATGAATATAAATAAATAAAAAGCGCAGATATCAATTCTTAAATGGATCATAGAGGATCGCAGAGAAAATATAGTCTACTTTCTGGACTTGAGATCGATGTGCATTTGCAATGAATTTTCCAATTCTTGTATTTCAGTTTTAGTGGAATTTGTGAAGCAATTTTATAAAGTAACTGAGGATGTTAGCACACACTTCCTTCAAGTAATCATGATAGGAACAACAGAAATAGATGTCAACGTAAGGTTGGTAAATAACGTCATTTTCGCTCATAAATGTATACTTTTCGATCGATACGTTTTAACATAGCGACCAGACTAAAGAGATCAATAACGATCGCATTTTTAAAAAACCGCTGTCAAGAGTGGAGACAATTGCCCTATTTCATAATGACGTCACATCAATACAAACTATCGTTTTAACGCTTATTAAGGGATCATGGTCGCTGGAGGGGATGGAATGACAACAACACATCTTTAATCACAATGAAATTTGGTTTATGAGCTGGTGAAGGCAAGAACAACTAAATATTACGCTAAATATCTCGGAAGAAGAGAATTAAGCTTAAATTTAGCTTAAATTTCCATCATTTTAGCAGATGTGAACAAACCGTGACGTCACTATGAAATAGGGCAATTGAAAACGGGTTGCTATCGTACAGTGAAAGCAGAAGCTTTTGAAAACGATGACATCTTTGCCACTTGCACGTCTGTTGCTTGCACGGACCGGAGTTGTCGATATTGCATCATATCTTGTCGTATCTGGCGCGTTTTTGATCGTTTCAACGTGAACGTGCGAATGCTTTTGGTGAAACGAAACGCTATATTCCAATTACATTATTTGTGAGTTAGCAATCCCAGTAGCACTTTTATCAGCCCAAAGGGTTGTAAAAGAGAATCCAATAAAAACTTGAAGGTTGTTTTGAATTAAAGGTCCAGGCAACAGTTACCCGTATCATGCCGTATCAATCCATCAATGTTTCTCATATTGACTTTACTTTGTTTTATCCAGAATCTCGTCAGTGAACCAATCAGCATACTCCACGTATGACTATATAGGAATGTCCAATCAACTAGTGACGTTTACACCGACATATACATCCCCTACCTTCATGAATATTTCTGTCAACATTACGGAGGAGGTTCTGATCGAAAGGGATGAACATTTCAAAAAGGCGTTAACAACCAACCAGAAAGCAGTTCGTCTGGGGAGAAATTTGACCGACATTCATATTCTGAATAATGATAAAGGTAAGGAAATTATCGTTCCCGCTGATTGGCCTTCATAAACAAACAAAAAACTATTTAAAAAAATACACCTGATTATGGAACAATAACCAAATAAACAATGACAACAAAACAAACTTCCATTTTCTTAAATAAGCTATGCAAGTCCTTCAATCTTCGGGATTTATAAGTTGATTGCAGACTTTAATGTCGATTACTGAATATGGTGTCTTTTTTCACTCTCAGCCTTCATTGGTTTTAATTTATCTTCTTTGGCCGTATTTGAAAACGCTAGTAACGTAACAGTGTGTATGTATAAAGAAGGGTTGGCAGCAGTACCGCTTACCGTCACGTGAGTATAGAAAATCCTTCACTACTGTATACGTCAATATTACCCATGATGCACTGGCGCCGCATAGGCATGCGTGTGGTCCAGCACTTTTCACAGGAATTTAAAGCATTTTAGTGGGAAATTTATGTTTATTTTCTAATATAATCAAATATAATATAATATACGAAACACTTCCGAAGTATACTTTTGTGAGAGCAAGACACTAGAATGAAGACATTTAACCTGTGAAATAAAGAAAGCTAGTTAACGTGTAACAGTCAAATAAACACAAAAGAAAACTATTTAAATTATGGTGTACTAAATTGTATTTTAGTCTACTGCCTATTTCACAAGTTTAATGACCTCACTCTATAGCAATAAAGGCAATGTGAAATAATATTTAGCCTCAAATTTCAAAAAAATGACTTTTCATATTCAAAAAGTTCATCTTTTTTCATCGTGTTATCAACATGGCCCGAAAAACGATAGACGACGCTATTACCACAGGATGCCCAAATCCCACGAGGTATTGGTACAAAAACCTCAGTTGAAGGACTTTTGGGTATCTCTTTTGCTATTTGCAGGTTACACACCGTTAACAGTACAGCAAAGGCCCATGTAGATTACGAAATAATCTCGAACCTAACCATCACGTTTGATGCTCCCCAAGTCCAAGCATGCATTAATGTGACCATCAAAGATAACAATATCACCGAGTACGACAAGATCTTCCACATCATAATGACAACACAGGATCCTGCTGTGATCGTACAAGATAATCGAAACAATCTGACTATCACTATTCTCAACGATGATCRAGGTAAGATGGCTCGCGAGATCGTATACCTAGATTAATCTACACATAAACTCTTGGATATCTTTAAACAAATGCATCGGTGCGACGTTTGGTTGAAAAATTGTTTTTTTGCAAAAGTCATTCTATTCTTGCCCATAACTATATTTATACTATATATATTCTGTAAGCACGATGGTGGAGTCTTTGTTGACAATGGCGTAATCATATCCTCAACCAATGACATTTTATAAATAATAAATAAATATTGGGATTAACAATTCAATTGCTTACTATCAATCACGTGACTTTTTGAAGTTGACTGAGGGCAAACAAGCGGTTGACTGGGGGGCAACTAGCGGATGCTAAGTCAAAATATATCAAAATAAGTCCTCAAACTATTGTATTTGACTATTTCTACGACATGAAACCAGAAAACAAGAGATCAAAACAACCTCCAAGAATCTACAAGCCATCAAAAAAGAGCTATTACCGGAAGTGACGTCTATTGATAGCAACCTATTGGAATTGAAATAAAAATACATTTCCAAGATGGCTTCTATTTTGTCCCCTCAAATGCTCTCACAATACGCTGCAATACCAACTCGACCCCGTTTTTTTCTCATCCTCGGAACGGCTAATTGGCTTAAGGAAACATTGAACATCTTGAATAAGAATGATGATCATTTATATGCTATTGTTTCTTGTCCATAGTGACCTTCGAATTCGAAGAAGTCTATAAAACAGTTGAAGAATATTCAGAAAGAAAGGTTGATTTTGTTTGTGCCATTACTGAAGGTGTTGCCGTAATTCCTGTTCATATCAAGTACGTATCACAGCTTTTAAGAGAAACTTTTGAGCCTTTTGCAATAGATTGACACGTGATTGTTACTGGATGGCAAAAAAATGTGGACTTCCTTTATTCAAAGATTTTTTGCTGGATTAATAGTGTTGTATCCAAAACCTTTTTCAAAATACTTTTTTTCCCTTATAAGATACTTTCGATTTCAAGATACGAAGCAATTTAAAGTTTGTTTGCCATCCAGCAGAGCGTTTCCCAAGGGACCTTGAGCTGTACTGATTACTTTATCAAAGTCATACATCAGCACGTGACGAAAGGCCTATTGCTCACAAAAACAGCGAAAATTTAGCGAGACAGATTTTCAATAATTTAACCACCACGTGAAAAAATTTTAGCTTTATTTTGGACAGCAAATCCTGTCATGAACCAAAAGAAAGTAAAATCTTTATAGCACTGCTTTTCGGCGTTTTTTCGTTTTTTTTGTGTGTTTTTCTTCTTCATACGAATGACGTTACACTAGCTTAAAAGGTCTTTTAGTGTAACAAGATGCAACGAAACCTTCAACGAACTACTTAGAAATACCTGTATTTAAAGGTTTTTAAAATTGTGACTTGAGCACTGAATATTTTGTCTATTTTGATTGTTAGTTTCACAGAAAATCCAAATAAGTTGATAGTGAGCACTAACCCTGGAACCGACTTTGTCCTTGGAAATCACACTCTAACGTTTTATCCGGGAACTACACGTCTTAACGTGACCACTTACATCATACCCGACGGTGAGGTAGAGTCTGTGGAGATATTTTCAGTGAAGATCGTAAGTCCTGATGAAACTCGTGCCGTAGCTGGTAAGAAGGACCACGCATTCGTGAAAATTAAGGACAGCAGAGACTTTGGTAAGTTTGGGAAAATATCAATGCTAAATGTATCTATGAGTTTGTTAGTTGGTGTCTGCGACACTAGAGAAAAACGTTAGCGCATGCGTGCCTTTCAGCACGTTTTTTCAATCTCGTACCCAGAGCCCTTATTTCTTACTGCGCATGCTCGACCCAGATTCTGGGTTTCCTGCACATGCGCATTATGACTGACTAGGTAAATTCAAAATGGCGGACGATGTTCAACGAGCATGTGAATTTGCGCTTGGAAAATTAGGTTTTGAAAATGGTTTTCAGTTAAATTAACTCCGAAAATATCTATTGGATGGACATCAATACAGTTTCCATTACAAAACCGGCAAAATTTTGAAAAATCCGGCCCTACAGGCTTTTTTGATGTATTTAATTCGAGACGCCATCTTGTTTATTTTCCCTAGTACTGTAATTTTTACTTCCGGTATCTTTCTTTGTTCTCGAGAACCAATCACAGCACAGGAAATATTGGAGTTTTCCAGAGCCAATTATTTCGTCGAGCATGCGCAGTAAGAAATAAGAGCTCTGGGTACGAGATTGCACGTTTTCTAAGAACTTAGAGGAGTTCTAGTAACACAAAATGTTTGTTTTCTCCGATAATACAAAATATTCCTCGAGTATACTTTTGTCAGACCAATATACTGTATTAACAAACACAATATGAAAGAATTACCCTCAAGTTTCAAGCATTGGCACTAAGTTTTGGCATTTTGTGAAGCCCTTATGAGGCAAGTGTGTATGAAAGCCCCTTTATGAAGCATGTGTGTTTGGAAGTTAAATTTCCATTTTTTTACAATAGCATGAAGGCGTTTTGACTATGATTTTCATATAGACTTAGAACATGTGCAGACGTTTTTCACTCGTGCATCAATACAGATTGTATTATAAATGTGTTAGATGGTGTCTGCTTGATTCTCTGGGGTAAAACTAAAGATATTTAGAAACACCAAGTATGTCCCAGCACTTTGGAAAAAGTACATAAGCCTTTCTATGAGTTTTTTTATAATCTTCCATGAGAAAAGCATATCATTCGAAAGAGTAAAAAACACTGTAAACTTATATCTTGGATAACTGAATAAAATATGCGTTTCGATTCAAGACAAATACTAACTAGACTGTCATTTCAACTTTAGCAAAAAGTGTAACCGAAAAGCAAGAGCAAAAATCAAAAGGTACGTTAGTAAAATTTCAAGGGGAAAGACCTTGACAATTTGAAGAATGACTTTGAAATATATTGAACCAGTCGAAAGTACGTAAATGAAACCTACGATATAAACCTTTTTAGTTTGGGGAGTAATGTTTTCCCATTTCAGATCAAATGTCATTTCCTAGAGTATCATTTCTTTGTTTAACAGTTGCGCATGAGAAGACACATCAGTATGGGTACAATTTAAACGAGGAATCTTATTCTGTAGGGAATGACACGTGGACTGAATGGGGAAGTATTACACTCACGCTAAAAATTGTCTATTTAACATTCATAGCTCATGCAGTTCAGCAAGGTTGGGTCAAAGGATGTTGATATTGCGCATTTTACCCTCTCAACAAGTGATCCATTTTTCAAAGTATAGTTTCGCGGATTAGAATCTGAACGAAATAAGTATACAAGATTGCTCAGCTTGTAATTTCAAAACTGATTATATACCTCATACAAGTAAGAATCGTATTCTAGTCAACTTAGCTTAAAATTTCTGTAAAATTAAAAATGATATTTTCATCTTTTTTTTTTCGTAGGAAAATACCAAAAAATGGTATTCCGGATGTGCGTCGCCGCCATTTGCTTGCTTCTCGTAATCACTATCTCAGGAGTCTTACTTTTCATTTGCGTGATAAAATAAAATAAATAAATAATGAAGTAACGTGGATGCAATGAGTGATCATGATTACACAGAGCTGGTTCACACATATCTAAAAGTACGAATAAATAAAACTTTCCATGATTGAGTTACTGCTTCTAGTTCATGTCGTATTTTTTTCTATAGTATTGTATATTTATGTAGATAATTTCAACTACACTTTCTCTCCCATCTCGTTCCTTTGCTTTACCTTTAGTTTTTGGTGTAATCTTCTTCTTTTAATGTCAAACTCGAAAAGACCTCTTTATACCTTAGGCGTAATGTTTTCCCATTACAGACCACATGTCATGTCCTTAGCTTGAGGATAAGGTTCTTGGTTTGAGTTGTATCTATATTCATGCTCCTTTTCTTGCACAGTTGTTAAATAAAGAAATAATGCTCAAAAGAATATCAAATGTCCTAATATAGGAAAACACCCAAGCTAAAAGGGTGAATAGATCTAATCCACTGTTTTCCAATTTCAGACCACGTGTCTTCTCCAGAGAATAAGAGTCTGTGTTTGTGTTATATTCCTATTCATGTTCTAGGGAAAATAAAGTCTTTATATTTCCTATTTGCAATAAATTATTAAGTCCTGCAAAACGCTGAAAGTCAAAACTTTGAAAAAAATTTTTTTTTCAATCCTCGATAGAATCTTTTTGATCATTAGCTGATTGAGAATAGTCCCCTTCACAGTTCCCTGCGCCATCTTGAAAGGTAGCCGTGCCTTTGCATCGAAGCGAGACGAACGGTGAGCTCGCAATGATAGAGAAATGCGAATAATTGTCCAAGGTGTTAGAAAAAGGTCTCTCTCTTTGTTGGTGCAAAAATTCGCTTTTATTACCTTTTTGATTCGGGAGGCTGGTCTTTAAACCCACTAGTCTAGACAATAGCAAAACCACTGATATACTGATACTGAAGAATGAGGTCTGGGTTTCTTTGGCGCATGTGCAATTTTTCGGAAGTAAAATATAATCAATGAAAATCTTGCTTTCAAACAGAGGTCTGTGTTTACTTCCGAACAAAATAAAAATTAGAAATTGGGAACATATTTTTTTAATTTTCGGCAAGTCTTTGAACGCTTGCACTCTTATACCGGAAGTCCAAGAAGTCCTGGTCTCCAAAAACGGATTATGCCAGAGCCCTCGTTCTTCGCCGCATGCCAGAAAAAAGGCAGGCTCTAGGTACGAGATTGTTTCCTTGCCCATAAGACACATGAATTATGTCTGAAAAGGATTGTTTCTTTATCTTTCTGGAATTATGCATTTATATTCATGTGATATGAAAAACATTTGAAAAAAAGACGATTCTCCAAAGAACCTCATGTCAACATCACATAGTTAGAAATGGGCTATTTACGTACGAAGGTAATTCGGTCTATTCTCCCAGCCGTATAGCGTTCGAAATGAGCCGTTTCATGACCCCTTCAAACTAGATTGTGCGAACAATAATCTTTACGATTAGAAACAAAGGATTATAAATAATTTTGTGGCAGGTATTTAGTAAAACGTTTTCACAGGTTTTTGCATCCTCTTTGCAACATTATTTTACTAATTGACTAATTACATGCAAAAGTTGTAACCGTTAGCTCACGTCGATCCCATGAGAATTTATATTCCGTACTCTGATTGGGTACTTGAGATACTTTGTAGAAAGACTTATAATAGTAAAGATCATTTGAACTTCATTAGAGCAACGAAGACTAAGTAGCTGGGCTCATACCGGTGAGGATACAGCGATTCTGAAGCAATTGCAATCTAACTTGGGTGGCGCTTCAAGACTCATAATCCACGATGAAAAACATCGCCTGCATGTTATTATGTGTAATATCGTTCTGTAGAGGAGTATATTCTAATGGGATCCCTACTCTTGGTAAGTATTGTGCCAAAAAATCATTCCAGCGAAAAAAACCTCTAGCATGGCTAACTCACAAATAGAACGGCCTGAATTAACCTCTGGGCTAATCAAAGTCAGGGCACGGCTAACTCACAGATCGAACCCTGGAACAACCTCTGGGCTGATCGAAGTCAAGGCACGACTAACTCATAAATACAACCCTGAAACAACCTCTGGGCTGATCTAAGTCAGGGCATGACTAACTCACAGATAGAACCATGAAACAACCTCTGGGCTGATCGAAGTCAAGGCACGGATAAATCACAGACTGAAACCTGAAACAACCTCTGGGCAGATCAAAGTCAGGGTACGGCTAACTCATGGTTATAAAGGCTAAACTAGTCGACTCTTAGGTTTTTAAATTCAAAACTTGATTTTTAGGATTTTGAACAGAAGTGATAAACTTGAATTATATAAGGGAAAGTGCAAATGCAAGACTGTTGTACCTGTTAATAACGAAATCTGATACTCGAGCTCATGCGAATACCTATAGTAACCTATTTATTTATTTGGTAATAATCCACTTCGTTTTCAGTGCACTTGCGATTGTATCCGAATTTCTCGCCTTCTTTGTTTAATTAAGAACAAAAGAAGGTTTAAACAAAAGATTAGAAATTTGGGATCAATCTTGACCCAGAGCCTGGGTTTCTTTTGGCTATTGGCGAAGAACGTGGGCTCTGGCAAAATCCATTTTTTGAAACCAGGATTTTTTGGACTCCCGGTATAAGAACGCATGCTTTCAAAGGCCTGATAAAAAAGATATGTTCCCGATTTCCCGAGAATGATTGGGGATAAAATCGCATGCGCACTAAAAACGATTCTTAAACTACGAACTGGTATATTGATATGCTTTATTTATTTATTTATTTATATATTTTTTTCCAGTTTACGTTGGTTTCGTAAACACTTCTGTATCGGTTCCTGAGGGAACTGGGCATGTAAAGTTATGCGTGTTCAAATCAGGATTCGTCCGTGAAAAAATTGATGTTTTGTAAGTAGCTATTCTCAACTCACAAAATATAAAAAATCTTTTTTTGGGATTTTGCTACATACCTCAAACTCCTTATGAATGGTTTTAGCTTCCAATATATCGAGCTGATCCAATGCAAGGCTAAATACAGTTTCAGCTCCAGTTTCGAATTCTCTTGGCTCGGCCGTCCTTATTCTCGGTTGTGCGTTATAATACTGTTTAGCTATTCAACCAAAAGCCGTGCCATTTTAATCAACTAGTATTGTTCCGTAGTACGTACATTACTTACTGTACATGCAATGGTCCTTAATGAAAGACAATAACACATTTGTACACAATTTAGACTAAGACTGAGTAAAGGCGATCTAAAATAGAAGTAAGACGACAAATTTGTGAACCCATTTGTGCACAATACAGTCAATTCAAAAAATGTTGTCGTCGACCGGCTCAAGCCTACGCGACTGGACCGAAAGGAACTCTGGGTAGCAATCATTGAAGCCGAGTTGACTCCATAATTTTATTCTGACTAGTTATGCCTGGTTTACAGCACGAACCTTCGTAGGCGAGCGGGAAGTGTCGAAGGAGACTTTTTTTTAATGCCTTCATATTTTCGAACTTGTGAACTGAATCATAACTACTTGGTTTTTCTTTCTCTAAACCCAAAGACATACATTTGATGGATTGTTTCTCGCCATTATTATCTTTATTACTAGCGGGAAAAATTAATTCAGAACGAATATTTAACCGCTTCAGTGATGTTTTACCCACATTCCTTTCGGTCCAGTCGCGTAGGCTTGAGCCGGTCGACGACAACGTTTTTTGAATTGACTGTATATAAAGAGACTAACACTGAGCAAAGGCGAACTCGAAATAAAGATGACTCGCAGATATAATTAAGATTTAGCGTGTTGGATTGGCAGAAGAACGCGCTGAAAACATATTGAATCAACGGAAAGACACGACAAACTTTACTCACATGTAATAGCCGTGGCGGCAAGTGCATAAATTGAACTTGGATGCTTGAAATGATAAACTCGTGCACACAAAGGCTACGCCAAACTTGATACCTCCTCATCCCAATTCCTCGTCTTTTTTATCTTGTTTTATCTTGAATTTTCTTTTATTTTCATTTGTTTTTTATTTATTTCCAAGTGATATTTCTGTACTTTTTTATTCTTCTTCGAGTGCTCAAAAACACTACGCCGACCTTGATTCCTCATCATCCCAGTTCCTCTTTCTTTCTTTATCTTGTTACTCTTCTTCATTTTTCATTTCATTTCTGTAGTTTAATTTAATTTTTATTCGTTCTTCTTTTCACAGATTAAGCACATCGGACAATACAGCAAAGGCAGGAGTGGATTACATCCCCTTGTATAATAAAATTGTATCGTTCAATCCTCCGAGTCCCAATGCAACAGCATGCTTCCTTCAAAACATAACAGATAACAACATTACTGAGTATAACAAGACATTCTATATTACCATGACAGTCAATCATTCTTTTGTCCTAGTGGAACAAGATCCGCACAATTTGACGATCACCATCATAAATGATGACAAAGGTACGTAAGGGTCATTCTCTCGAGAATAAGGTTTTTTGTTTGAGTTGTATCCGTATTCATGTGTATTCCCATGTGCAACTGTTAAGCAAAGAAATAATACTCTAAGGAATGACACGTCTTCTGAAATGGGAAAACATTACATCAAAGATATATGGATCTATTTCTATAGACATCTTTCAAAAAGTGACATGAGTTACCTCTTTCGTTCCTGAAGTCATAACAACAAGCATTTAAAATGACATGGCATGAGTTACAGCAAGCGTTTTACAATTATGAGAGGATTTGTATGAGACGACAGAGCTAAGATATGACCAACTTATACCTTTCATGTTCTGGGAATTTTCTTAATTTCTGATTTTTTTCCTTATTCTTTTGGTGCAGCTACATGACTCAAAATCCGTTAATAAGATATAAATAACGATGAAACAACCGTCATGTTGGTTGATCTAACAAAAGAAGCTAATGAGGAATGCTTTGTTATCGTCAACCAAGATGGCGGTAATGACGTAACATGCGCCCCGTGAATTTGTTTAAAGTTGTGCACAGTCGAGGCATAATCCAGTCAAGGTCTCCATTTGGTAACAAAATAACTATTTTACTCCCATAAAGTTTTCACAAATTAAATTTTTCAAGGTCGATCCCTATAGTTGACCAATCAGTGCTATCTTATTTTCAGTGACCGTAGAGTTTGAAAAAGAAGCAGTGATTGTCGAAGAAGACTCGAAGGAAGGGAAGGTCGATCTTGTTTGTAGTATCACTCATGGGGTTGCTTTGATTCCTATCCATCTTGAGTACGTATCTTATACATATATATATTATTGACAGCACATTATTTCTTTGCATTTAGCCCTGTATGCCTAGTTTTCCTGTAACACACTTTGCCGTGCGCCATTTTGGATGCGATGTTATTGCGATGTTAGTCTACTAAAAATTCTCATTTGTTTTATTAATATGATTATCCTCCGCCTCATCTGCTAAGTATCTATTTGTCCACAGTTTTGAGGAGAATTCCGATGAAGCATTAGTCACCGCAGACTCGGGATCCGACTTCACCTTGAGGAAAAACAAGACGTTTTTCTTCCCACCGGGTGAGAAACGTCTGATTGTAACTGTTGATATCAAGCGAGACGGAAAGATGGAGAGCGATGAGGTGTTTTCGCTTAAAATAAAAGGTTTTGATGAAAGGTTTGCAATCGCTAACCATGAAAGATGCACGACATTTGTCAAGATCAAGGATTCTTCAGACGTTGGTAAGTCATCTTTACGTTAGTATTTTTAGAACAGCTGGTAATGATTTGTTTGTCTCGACTATGGTGTTTTGTGGTAAGGCTTATGATACTATCTACGTTGGCTGTACTTTATAATTAAATGAGTTAAGCTAAGCCATTGCATTTTTTTACCTTTTAGCAAAAGGAGTCGCACAAAAACTAAAACTGGACGAAGATGGTAAGTTAGTGAATCAATGCGATGAACTGTCTGCTTCTTGGCGTTAGAAGCAGTTATGACAAAATGACAAAGTGAAAAGCGACAACAAAAAAAAGAAAGAAAAGAAGAAAAAAAAGGAAAAATGAAAAAGAAAAAAGAAAAAAGAAGGAAAGAAATAAAGAAAAAGAAAAGAAGGCCGTCGAAATCGTAGTCGAAGTAGTCGTTTGCTTTTGACGGTTTCATTAACTGTTTCCGACTCGGATTCCGTCACAACCTGAAAGTTAAGAACAGGGCTTAATTCCACCAGCCGTTCCCTTTAGTATTGTTTTTTTCTTCTTACTGACTGCTGGGGAATCTATTTAGAAACTCATTTTAAAAAATAACTAAAAATGGTTGGATAGTCTCCTTATAAAATTGATCTGTCGTCGGTTTCTCGATTTGTTCATTCTATTCACCTCATTTTCAGATGAAGGAGATGAAAACATGCTTCTTGCCCTGCTCATCGTCTTGGTTACTGCGTCCTTCATTGTCACACTGTTAGGCATCACGATGCTGTACTATCTATATACAAAGAAGGCCAAATCGATGAATTCAAAATAAAGCCCCGGGATGTCTTGAAAATGAAAAAATCTGCTATATGCTAGAGTGCATACCATATATCCGTGAACTAACGAAAATGTACAAATTAGTGCAAAGTTCTGTAGGTCATGATGGTCTACTGAGGTCTTACTAGCTTACTAATTTGTGCAAAGTTGTGCAATTTCTTGCAACGTTTCTCATGGCTACATATTATGCACTCTATTGAATTGTTGTCGCTATGTGTATTTATGCCTTGTCGACGAATTGCTTGAATCGGAATAATAATCAATTGGAAACAATAATGCTGTCAAAACGCGCTTGTCTATTGCATCAAAATTTTCACCAGTATTAACACTAAAGATTGCTTGAAATTGGCAAAGAAGATAATTATATCTCACATGCATTATGGTTATTAATAGCACTGATATATAAAGTATAGATTACTGATAAAAATTGGAGTTGAGCTTTAAAAATGGTCTTAAAAATTATGTTCATTGCTAGGACTTTTTTTGTGTGAAAATCAACCAAGGAATTATTCCCATAAATACAATAAAATTTATAACCAATAAAGTGATTCTTTAATGCTTGATAGTACGTTTGCGAATAGAAAAGTTTTGAGTTCCAAATTACCGCTGTGGTTCTCGATTACAGACTCATTTACACAGGGTTAGCCTCGATTTTGTGCAGACTATTCACGTGTTCTAATCAAGGTCCGTCGAGTTTCAAAGTGTTTGTATTGTTGAAGTCGTGCATTCTTTACAAATCACCGTTGGTATTTGTGAATATTTAAACACTGATACGAGTCTAACCCTGTGTAAATGAGCCTATAATCAAGGAACACAGGGGTAATTTTGGATTTGACACTGGTCTTTTCATACGCTTATTTTAGTGTTAGAATATTCAATCATACCAACACCAAAGTACAACAACAGCCGATAGTTACTTTATTTGCTTAAGTTCTTAGGATCGCCTTAGGCCCTGGCTAAACGAGTAAACATGTTTCCAGAAACATGTTTACCGCGCGCATGTTTCCTCGATGTTTCCCAGTTCAGCCACATGCGAAACATTGCTGCGTGCAACAAATGTTGCTTCCAAGACGCAAAAAAATGATTTTGCTGTGCGGCAGAAACATTTCATGTTTCCAAGACGCAGGTAAACATTGTTTCCCAATGTTTCCTGACAGTTTTGCCGCCTTAGGAAACATTTAGGGAAACATGTTTCCTCGTTTAGCCAGGGCCTTAGGCTTTTATGGCGTTTGAAAGTATCGCTAAACATGGAAATAAATGAAACGAAAGAAAAAGATGGGAAATGGCCGTCTATGTACTCTATCACTGCTGCGCTTGAAATCAGTAGAGATAGGAAGCTATATATCGGTTTGAATTAACGTCTGCGTAAACCTATTATGTAATGATGAAAGTGCGCATGACAAGAGTGAAAAAGCTGCTATGCGCATGCTCTAACTCCGTATGCAAATTAGTCCAAACGTCTTCGTGCTATTATAAAGTATGTAAATTTGACTTTGAAACATGCCTGACAAAAGGACATCGGTGAGCATCAAAGACTTCTAAATCAATGCCAATTAGAAGGTAATCAATGAAAAAATTGAATAACTATTTCATCATACGTCATGTATTGTAATTGAATAATTAACTACTCTGAAAACCCTGCGCGCGCTTTGACAAACAGCGCGCCACCGCCATGAAGCGCCACAAGCTGTATAAATGCGTACAAAATAGAGGTGAGAGACTATATTTTTATTACCATTGAGTTGGAATAATGTAAAGATGCGTGTGGCTACGACTTTTCCTATGACTTAACATTGCAGCTGCAACTCAAATCCGCATTTTAGTGGCGCAGAGTTTAAGGGAATTGTCGCAAAGCATAGCGGCAAGTTTAGTTGCCACTTTTACCTATGGAATATTTAGGCTGCGTTACAGCTTTGAAGATATACGTTAAGTAATCTAACACAGCATTTTTTTTAAATTCAGCAAAACTACTCGTTGAATCGTGAAATTACACATCTCGCTTGGACTGCGCGCGCGTTGAACATGCTATGAAAAAGATAATTTTAGCAAAGGTATATGGCCGAATGCAGTTTTTTCCAGAACAGATTTTCCAAAACGATTTTTCCATGCAACTAACGCAAGGAAAAAAATATATGCAAATTGTACAAAATAATCTCTGTGTGCAGTAGCTAATTTTGTTTTTTGATTGATATTTTTTTACCCTGGAAATTTAGGATAATGTTAATTCGAAAGCTAAAAGATATCACCCATGTTCATCTATTTATTCTCGTGGTAATTTGTGTTGGTTTTACAAGTGGAGAAGAGCGACGTTATCGTGAGTACACCATTCACTGTGCGGACACACTAACCGGGACCACTTGAATAAAACTGACCAATCAGATAACGGTAAACTAGACTGAGATTGAACTGATAACAGCGCTAGCCAATCAGATTATTAGGTTCTCGTGCTCTTATTTTATCGATGCGCTATCTAATTGGCTGGTTAAAAATCTTGAACTAGATCTCGCAATATGATTGGTTAGTGATACTAGTTTATCGAAGTGGCCCCAGTTGGAATATCTGCGAAGTGATTTTTTACGAATATTTTTTAGTTTGACCAGAATATTTATATTTTAAGAATTTTTAATTCAATTCGTTATTCATGGGTGCCCAGTGTACAAGATCGTGTTTACATAAACAGTTAAAAAGCTATTATCCATTCCGAGTTGAGGAAACGTCTGCGTCAAATTGGCACTGCAGTACATTGTGGGTCTCCATTTAGGGGACGTAATGCACGCCATCTTGGAAATATGTCCCTTAAAATATCCCACAATGCATTGTAATGCCACTGTTACCCAGTTTTTCCTCAACGTAGGAAAGGCTAATGAAGGTTTTTTGATATATGTTTAGGTCGAGCAGCCGTTGAATTATATTTATTTAAGTTTAGTAAAAGTCATCCACTCGGCTCCAGAAGGCGAACGCAAGATGCCTCATATTATTGTAGAAATCATGATTTATTAAGAGCGTCTAAGCCAATCCAATTTCAGAAATCACGTCACATGAATAACCGATGTAAACCCAATATATACCTTTCGATGAAAATGCTAATCAGATACAGCCACTAGTAGATGTATATTGTTCTGATACAGCACTACAATGGTTGGATCTTGAATCCAAAATGTTCAAAAAGGATTTATGAATTATTAAGGGATTTTCAAAAATTGAATCCCCTCCGTCTCGTGATTCTATAGCCGATACAACACGGCCGCTCATGTTGTAAACATTACTTATCAACAGCGACATGCCAGAATCCACTTGGCATGGAAAATGGGGTAATCCAAGATTATGCAATAACAGCCTCAAGCAGCTTGGACCCAACTCAATCTCCCGCTCGTGCTAGACTCAACCTAAAAAGTGAAGGCGATTTAAAAGGTGCCTGGACTGGTCATATCGATGATCCACATGCGTGGATCCAAGTTCATTTCTTAATTCCAGTCACTATCACTGCCATTGCAACACAAGGCCATGCAGATTCCGCGCAGTGGGTTAAATCATTTGGTCTCGAGTATAGCCGGAACAATGGAAGCCATTTTGTCGACTATCAAAATGGCCTGGAATTGACTGGAAACAGCGACCATAACACCACCCACACTAATATTTTGAAGCTGCCAATAAAATCGATAAACTTTATCAGAATTGTGCCAAGATCCTGGGAAGCTTTCATTTCACTGAGGTTTGAGCTGTACGGATGCAAATCAGGTAGGAACGCACAAGAGACGTTATAATATTTTCAAAATGCATGATCCCCGATCAGAGGAGGATCCAGGGCTATCGCAAGTGCCTTGCAAAGCATTATTTGTAGTAACCATTTTTAAGAATTTCCTTGGAAGCATACTCACAGACCGCCAATGGTTAATTTCCTCTGATGCACACTTGCCTTTTACTGTTACAACATATTATTAATCTTCTTTCTATGACAGTCAAATTTATGTAGATTTTTAATTTCAGACGCCATTGTTGGTTTTCGGGACACTTCGCTATCAGTATCTGAAAAAGCTGGCCAAGTCCCAATCTGTGTTTTTCGAGACGGGCTTCCTAATGTACCATTAAATATTACGTAAGTATCGTTGTTTTGAATGCATTCTTATTGAAAGGAATAAGTGTTCGTTTCTTGCTGTTTTCGTTGTCATCGCTATCATCCTCATTGTATAATTTTGAAGGGAAAAAAGAAGTTGTGATTAAACTAATGTTTGGTCCTTTTCCAGGTTGAAAGCTACAAGAAACATCAACATTCCCAAAGCACCTTCCTTCGTGGCATTTGCTCCAAATGACTTAAGTTTTCAAACATGCTTCAACTTGACCATTCACGATAACAATGTCGTAGATCACAACAACACAGCACATCTATCCCTGAGCACAGATGATCTTAATGTATTCGTAAGACCAAATGAACTGACTATCAACATTCTTGAAGATGATCGAGGTAATTAAGGACAACCTCAAATACCTCTATTTAAAAAAAGTGATAGCCAAAAGAGATGGCGATTCATGCAGAGAGTCATTCAAAAGTTGAGAGGAATTATAGGCATATACACGAGTAAAGATGAATAATTAAAGTGTTCAAAATGGCTTCGTCCCTATAAGCAACACTGTACTATCATTAATCCCCGTGCTATTGACGAGAAAAGTAATAGGAAGCATTTCAGCTTTTCATTCTATAATTAAAATGTTCAGGCTCCTTGCTCAGTCTTTGTTTTCGCGGGAGACAAGTACTCCAGCTGGGAGCAAAAGGGTGTCTGTTTTCTCGTGTTATATTCTGTGGATGCAATAAAATAGTTAACTAATTGTTCTAATTTCTTCCAGCTGTTATTGGCCTCAAGAAGACTTTTTTTTCAGTATCTGAGCACGCTGGTAATGTTTCGGTCTGTGTTTTCATCCAAGGAATTGTTGCCGGCTCAATAAATGTCCAGTAAGTTTCCTCCTTCTCCTCCTCCTTCACCTCCTCCTCCTTCTCCCCCTTCTCCTTCTCCTTCTTCCATTTCTCCTCCTCCTTCTCTTCCTT